TATATATGAGAGGGGGAAAGGGACACCAGTTACAAAAGGAAAAGCTTAAAAGGCAATAAGTCTAAGTTAACATGGCTGAAGCAACTAGAGCAGAAGTAACAAGAATGTTGACACAATGTGAAGGACGTAAGCAATGTCACTTAACAGTATTTGCAGGAATCACTGAATAGCAGTTTGTTTTGCTGTATATACTTCCACCAAAAACTAAAAACAAAATTTAAGAAAGAACACTTCATAAAATTTCTGATAACCAAAAAAACAAAAGAAGTCTTAGAAATTAAAAACATAAAAGACAAAATGGAAATTTCCATAAAGAAATAAAGCTGAGGAATTCTCTGAGAGAAAAAAATTAAAACACAAGGACTAAAAAAATCAGAAAACTAGTAAGCTCAAATGCCTTATATCAGAATTCTAGAGAGTTTTAAAATCAGAAAACTAGTTTAGTAAGCTCAAATGCCTTATATCAGAATTCTAGAGAGTTTTAAAAATGGGAAGGAAAAAAAATAAATAAGAAAATCTCACAAAACTAAAGGGTATCAAGTTTTTGGGTTTAAAGGGCTGACTGTGGTCCTATTATAATGTATGAAAGAAATCCATACCAGGCTCATTAAAACATTCCCAAACACAATGGAAGAGAGATTTTATATGCTACCAGAAAAGATATCATAAATAAAGGATTAAGATTCAGAATATCAATTTATTGTTTTCTGTTGTGCTTTACAGCGTTAAAACACAGTGACTGCTGCAACAGGCTTCAATGTGTCAGGAAGTGCAAGGATGACACAGGACAGGACAGGGTTCAGATCTCTTGTTCTTAGGGTCTATTGTTATGGGTCATACTTGACCCAACAGCACCTAACAACAACCACAGAGTTAGAATCTACCCATAGCTGATCCTCCTGAAGGTCTGCAGAGGCTGTAAGTCATAGGAGAGGAGATTGCGCATCTTTCTCCTATGTATCCAAACCTTTGTGTTGATAGTGCAATCCCTTATCTCAAAGTCACCAGAGCTCCCTAGAGTAGCAATTAACTCTCAAAAAGAACACTGTGAACCAAGGGATGAAATACAGCAAATTTTAAATCTGAGGAAAAATTATTTCCAACCTAGAATCATATAATTAAACTTTTAATTAAGTATGAGGGCAGGGGGAGGGGAAAGAGACCTTTCAGGCACACCACTTAAAATATTTACTCCTTTGTTCTCTTCTCAGGAACATTTGGAGAGTTTGCTCCATAAAATGAAGGCATAACTAAGAAAAAGCCACAGGACTCTAGGAAATAGGAGTCCAACACAAGAGAGGTGCAAAGAGAAATGTCTAGGATGATAGTAGAGGGGATCTCACAACGATGCACTGTGGCAAGCCTAAACAGCAAACAGTCCAGATCACTGCAGGAAAGCCTCTTTCAAAAAAAAGGAAGTGATAAAATATCCTGTGTGGAGTTAAGAGTCACTTCACCTCAAGCAGTTTGGCTTGTGTTCCTTTTTTTTCTATGAACTAACTCTTAGAGTATCTGAGCTACAGGTGACCATATCTACGTAGTTTGCATTATCAGAGGAGTCTATGAATTGACTAGGTAACCAATAATGAGTGCATGGACTAGCTAATAAAAACTGGAAACACTAAGACTCGAAGCTTCTTAAAGGAGAGAGTATCCTACAAGGTAAGGTTTCCCATGCCATCGTTTCAGGGACGTTTTCAAACCTGCTAGAGTATCTGCATGTTGCTGCTAAGTTACTCCTGAACTGCACCACGTCAGTCCTGTCCATCTGTAACCATACTTAACAGTTGCATCCTTTCCTTATCAGCAAGTAGGATGAAATCTGCTCTCACATACTTTGACCATGTCAGGAGGGGCCAGTCCTGTGTACAGGACATCATGTTGGGAAAGATAGAAGGACAGTTAAAAAGAAGACTCTCAACCAATCAGACTGACACAATGATTGTGACAATGTGCTTGAACATGGCAGAAATCATGAAGATGACAAAGGATTTGATTAAATGTTAATAGGATCACCATAAGTTGTAGTCTACTTATAGCACCTACCAGCAACAAAAACAAATGTTTGTGTATGTAATTTGAAGAGATTTTTTTTAAAAATTTCCTTAGTCATTTCAAAATTCTCATTGTTTGATGATTTTTGTGAGTTTGTGACCCTACTTTCTCTCCTTTTAAATGTGGTTCTTACTACATTAAATAATCTTACTTTTAAAAAGAGAGTTGTATCCTTTACCCTAATAAATTACATATCTGCAAAAATACTCTGTGAGTGCTATGTGACATTACAACAAATGACAACCCTCAGCAGAGAAAGACAGTAAATCTTTGATTGCTAAGAACCAACTTAGTGATGACTGATTTCTTATTCATGAGATTATTTGTCTACCCCATGTGTCTGAAGACACTGGGCGGATATTCAAACCACCATGAATAGAAAACTAGGCAAAGACACAAAAGTGTAGAACTTATTAATTCTATAGAGAAAAAGAAAATTATACAGCAAAGGAAAATTAATAATGATTACTACATGGCTCAGCAATGAATATCATTAACACGGCCATAATAAAGCACACAACAGACACTGCTCTAAAATTGTGATGGTAAAATGGCAGGACAAAGGGACATATGTGAGTATGTGAGTGAAGATGCGCCAGGGATCGGGAGAATACATTTTTAGATGAGAAGGAAAGCTGACCTCTCATTTGCATATCTGATAACTCTTTTAATTGAGAAAATTTATGAAGTAGCTCACAGAAAAAGACATCATACTTGGAAAAAGTAGAGGGTCAGTGAAAGAAAAGAAGACCCTCAACAAGATGAATCTACACAATGGCCGCAGCAATGGGTGGGCTCAGGTGTACCAGGGACAATGAAGATGGCCCAGGACAGGGGAAGGTTCAGACCTGTGGTTCACAGGGTCACTACGGGTCGCAGTCAACTCGATAGCACCTGACAACAACATCAACAAAGAATATGCTCTCTAGAGACATGGAAATAATAACAAACACATTAGCTGAACAATTTTAAATGAGTGGCTCTGAGGAACAGGAGCTAGGAGAAACTGTGGAGACTGGAAGAACTTTTTTCTTAAAAGCTTTATAGATTTTTTATTCTTTCAATACACTCATGTGCATCAGCAAACAAATGGATAAAAAAAACTGGTACACTCACACAGTGGAATAGTACACAGAACTGAAAAATAAGGAACTTATAAAATACTACACAACATGGGTGAGCCTGGAAGACAATGTCTTGAGTGAAATATCTCAGTCACAAAAGGACAACTATTGCATAACATCACTGTTATAAAATAGGACTAACGTTGGGGGATGGGGAAGAAGGAAAGAGTGGATAGACACTGAACACTGCATTGGAGCGGAGGAGGGGAAGAACTGTCTGAAAGGAGAGTATGATCAGGCACTTATGTATGACAACAATCTGGAATAAGGGGTGCTTTTCAAAGTGGCCTTGAGAAAGCGGAAGAGAGGGGGAAAGAGGAAAGTGTGCAATAATGATTAAATAAAAGCCCAAGCTTTCTGTAGACTTTAATTTAAAACCATATTTATAAAAATTTTTTAAATCAATATATGCATGAATAAGTTTAATTTAAAAAATACTGTAAGGGAGAAAAATGTCCACACACTCACATACACCCAGTGTTTATGACAGAACATGTTCTCTCGCTTGTTTTAAGTCTGGTAAGTTTTGAAATGAAAAGAGAACATGGCATGCATAAGATATTTAAAACACAGCAGGAACTCAGAATGTGAAAGGAAAAATGGCAACATAAAATATTGGAGAAATAGATAAATTCTGCTTCTTAGCAATAGATGTTGTACAATTAATTGTTGTACAATTTATAATGAACTCTGGTGGTATAGTCTGCAGTGAGCTGCACTGACCAAAAGCTCTACGGGAGAAAGATGGACAATCTCCTCCCATGACATGTACAGCCTCTGAAAATCAGCTGAAGAGCTAGCTATTATAGTTACAGCTCAAAGGCAATGGATATCCTGAGACTGCATACCACTTATAGTGGTTACCTAATTTATAGGATTTCTATGAGGCAGTTCTACTTTATAAAGGAGCCATGGTGGTGCAGTGGTTTAGCACTCAGCTGCTAAACCCAAGATGAGTAGTTTGAACCTACCAACTTTTATATAAGAAAGAGATATGATCTGCTTCTGTAAAGACTACAGCCTTGGAAAACCTCCACTCCGTCCCACAGTTCTTCTCTAACCTAAAATCAACGTGACAGAAGTAGGTTTGATTTTGTTGTTAGATGCAATTAATGGTTTCTATTATGGAAACAGCTCATATGAGAGCTGTGCTGCTAACCCAAAGACCTCACTTCTCTGGCCTTTAAAATTCACCAGCAGAATCCTCTAAAGAAAGATAAACAATCTCCTCCCTCATGGTTTACAACTTTGAAAAACCTACTGGAATGTCAGCTAAGAGTCAGTTCCAACTCAATGGTAACGAAAATGGTTTATATTGGGACAATATAAACTTTTGTTAGAGATACATATGGAAATATCTAGCAGTGACATGTCACAGTATCTCTAACTTTATATACTCTTCAAAAACAGCAGACAAAACAATTATTGTAAATTGTTCAACTCAAAACTCAACCCATTGTCACTGAGGCAGAACCAACTAATAGCTGATCAACTGGGTTTCTAAGACTGTAAACCACATGGGAGATTGCCAGTGTTTCTTCTTGGGAGCCACAGGTGGATTCTAACCAGCAGAGAGGTATGGCCTTTGGGTCAGCAGTGCAACTCCCTATAGACTAGGCCACCAGAGAGCTTGTTAGTAAACCTAGGTGATGCACTTTATATACGGGCAGATATACTATTTCCATCTTCAGTATGTTTTAAAAAGTTTTCAGCTGTACTCTGTAAAAATACCTAAACACTAAGTAATGAGTTCAATTTCCTCGGCTATCTGGAAGTGGGAACAGGCTGGAGAAGACTAGAAACAACCTACGGTTCTCTTACCGTATCCTGCCATGGAAGCTCCGTTCTCCACATCCACTGTGTTCTTATTTTCCTCTGCTAGAGCTTTGACGTATCTTTTGCTTAAATCTAGTATTTGCTCACGCAACTTGACGCTGCTTTGATGTCTTGGTTGCTGAAAAGTGTAGTGCAGTAACATCAATCCCCAAATGAGTCCAAATACAAGCAACAGTAAACTCAATTTCTGGGACATATTTTTCCTTGAGATTGTAAAAAACATTTCTGGTAAAGAAAACAGGTTCAGTTGAAATGTAACTAGAGACAAGTCATCAAACCATCAAGACTTTTTGGGGGGGCCTTCTTCCTCTAATATTTTAAATTCTTCATCTTCAGGATGGTTTTCTGTTGACTCTGCAAAACAGAAGAGAAAAAAATTTGTTTAAATCCATAGCAATAACATAAGAGACTGGGAGATTAGAGAAGAGACTTTAAAGTTGAGATTTGGAACTCTTGTTTTCTTTGGCAACTTTTTCTACTAAATAATACAAAGTTTTTAAGCTATTTAAACCAGAAATAAATATCAATTCATTGGAAATAAAAGCAATATGATCACAGACCTCTTCATATCTCTTATTCTAATTGGTGAGACTAAAACTGTGAACAGCAAGCAAGATTAACAGAAGATCTCAGTCTATTTGAACAAATGTCATCAACCTAAATGGCATTCCTCCTAGAAGAAAAAAATGTTTTTATAGATGGATGCTAAAATACTGACAAAGAAAGATTAAACAGATCACAAAGTCCACATGTGTGTGCCAATATTTGAAAATAAGAATGACACAATTTCAGGAAACATTCAAATGATTAAAAATAAATTATAACCTCTAAACTTGTTATTTTATAAACGTTTCTGCAGGAAATGGATGGACAAGCTCCTCTCTTGCAATTTACTGTCTCTTAAAACAATGAGAAAGCCAGCTATAGGTTGGTTCCAACTCAATGGTACACAACAAGTTTTTATTTTATAAAAAATAAATTACTATGGTATTTATTTAATGAAAAATGCTAACACAGGCTAAAATATTTTTCTATATTTCTAACATTTTAATTCCAAATGTTAAGGGATGATGGTATTTATTTTTATAATTTAGGATAAAACTAAAAGGTTCTATTTCAATTTACTATAAAAAGAGAGAGATAGAAAGATGATGACAATCATGGGATCTACAAAGACCTGCATAATAGTATATAAGTATATTAATGTATGTTGTTGTGTATACCATGAAGTTAAAATCAACTGCAGCTGACCCTCCAGCAGGTTTTCAGAGCATGGGAGTAGCTTGTAGATTTGAACTGCATGCCTGCGAGTTGGCAGTGCAGTTATTTACCACGAAGACATATATCACTGAGTATATTTATTATTATTATTAATTAGTATGTGTACCTGCAAATTAGATCCAACTGGTACAGGAGGAGATTGCTCCTCCTTCTCCAGAAAAGTATCTGGGGGCTTTGAACCATCCGCCTTTGGAATTGCCGCGCAGCTTCTTGACAGTAGGCCACCAGAGCTCCATGAAATCCATGTGGATTCTTAACAATCTTCCCCCTGGGTTTTGGAGGCTGTAAATCTTACAGGCGAAGACTGCCCATTTTTGTCCCTCAGATCAGCTGGTAGATTTGAACCACGTGCCTCTTGATTAGCAGTCTGACACATTGCAAACTATGCCACCAGAACTCTTTAAAGAAACTGGCAGCACATGTAAAAATTGTATTTGTTTATGTTCTAATATATCTGTTCTCAACAGCAACAATTAAAAATAAATTATTATTTAAAAATTCTTATACAGCAAGAAACTCCCCTGCAATCCCAGAGGTGCATGGTTCAAATCCACCAGATACTCTGCTGGAGAAGGAGGGACAATCTCTCCCTGTACCATTCAGATCTGATTTGATGGTACACACATGCGCGCGCGCACAC